ATTCATGGTCTGTATTATTGGCTCATTGATGAATCATCTGCCTGGCTTCCAGCGAGTAACATCCAATCACATTTGTGTACTAGCTGGGCTTTATAAATCATAATTTTTTGATTCCTTTGTGCAACACCGGTTGTTGCTGCAAACCACCACATGCTAAATGATGTAAAAGTGTACATTCTAAGCTTGGATGAACATGTATGTTTTTATCTATCTCTCATTGTATGTCATAATGTACAGATGATATAGCCATACCACATTTGTCTAAATATTTCTAAATCCTTGTTGTAAGTGTGTCTGACTGAACTATAATTTGAACCCCATAAACATATAATAAAGTTACTATAATTACATCTAGGGCTATCTGGATGTTTTACTTTGAAATATTGTTTACAGGTAAATACATCATTTAATTGCCAGTCTTGAAGAGATTTTTCTTTGTAATAAGTACTTTTCCTTTTAATACATGGATATATTTTTCGTGAACACTAATGCAACCCTGATATCCTAATCTAAAGCAACACAGAACGGCTCAAACTGTTGCAAAACACTTTTCATGTCATCTCTTGTGCAGCTAGATTTCATCTGTAATGAATTTTACAACTGTTCTCTGTACAAGCTGGAATCAACAGAAAGTGATAGAGGATGAGCTGACAATGTGCATGTAGGTTATCTCTCCATAGTAATACAACTCCTAAACTAAAGGAATGGAAGAAGTTTGACAAACTTGAGCTGTTAATAATAACCAGCTGAAGATGTGGACATAAAGCTCTGCCGACCCCCTTTAAAATCACACAAAAGGCCCTTTCCTTTGCTGCAGTTGTTTTGCAGTGTTTTTTCCTGGTGCACTTAGTGTGGTATTGATCATTGTTGGTCCAAGTCCTGAGGAATCAGCTTCTATTGATTTCACTTCAGTTGTAAGCCTCTCTTTCTGACCTATGTCTCTTTTCAGCCCAAGCACCTTTTCAAACATCCTCACCTCTCTGCTGAGAGTTTACTAAAACATGTCATTACTACAGCACTTTCCAAGCAGATTTCCAAAATCGTTTGTTCTTGGATTCATAAAAAGGAGAGGCCATTATAGCTATTTTCAGCTATTAGCTGTTAGAGACTAAATTTTTGGCTTGAAACACAGTAGCACAAAAAAAAACTATGCTCTGTTGGGTTGTTGCATTGAGGATGCAGTTGTGCTTTTAGAGGGATAATATGCTCCTTTGCCTGGACCTTCATTATCATTCATAAAAAGAACCCACTTATAGTCAGAAGATTCAGCAGTGATGATACTTATTAATAGCTGCAATGCAGTCAGAGTCAATATTGTGTGTGTATGTGAAGTATTAAGTAACATGTACATGTCTGTGTTTTTAATCGAGTATGTGTGTGCCAAATGAAGAGACCTCCATTACTTACATGTTAGTTTGAAAAGATTGAAGCTTTTAGAGCTTATTTTTAATGCACTGCTGGGTGCTTCATTGCAGAATCTTTAATCCCAATGAAGCAGAGCACAGTGTAATTCTGCATACTATTTTTTCCTCCCTCAGTCTCAACCTTCCCTTGTCTGATTGTATATGCATCTGAAACCGAAAATGTGCAACTACAAAACTCTGCAATGTCTTCCTCTTTCTGACCATTGGCATTGTGGGCTACATACAACAACACTTGATGTGTTTAACTGGAAGATAAATAACATGAACAGTAAAGGTCTGTAATGTGATATTATTATCTTATCCACATTGCATGATACACTCAGTGGCTGCTTTATTGTGTACGCCTGTACAATCTAGTGATTTTGTTGGATTTGACGATTTAGTTTGAGAGTCTACCCTTACGGCATGCTTTACTTGGTGTTTCCTCTGCAATTAAAATACAAAAGTGGTTTCAATTATGCAGAATTTGTTCATCTGAAAGATAGATTTTGTCATTGTGTTTACAGAGTGAGTGTTGCTGTATTAGAAACCTTGAATCTTCGGTAAGAGGAATTGATTGAGGTGTTGAAGTTGTGTGCTCTTGGGTGCAAAACTCAGGAGGGCTATCTGTGAGCTGTAGACCTTCAATGGCTGTCCTGGGGACTCCTCAGCAGTGAATCAATAGGTAGTTAATTTCAGGCCACATGCTTCAACGGTAGCTCAAGTATGGGCCCTTACATGTAATGACTATAGTTATAAACCTTTCTATTTCTACATTAAAATGGAGTAAAATCTGCAAGTTAGAAATCAAAAGTGGTCATTCATACACATTCATACACAAATTTACTACAAACAATGAGATTAGATATAATAAAATAAGATACAATTATATCAAATTGGATTAGATAAAATTAAATAAGATTAAATTAGATTTTAATGATCCTCTGAGGGAAATTCAGCCATTACAGCAACAAGTAATTGTTGTGATACCCGCTTTGGGGAAAATGAATTACAGGCTATTTCTGCTGCACCGTAAAAAGTGGAATTGAAGTCCACGAGGACAAATGGCCTCTGCAGCAGGTCTTATTTTTCTGCTAGTAAGATAAAGTTTGATAACAGAGCCTTTACAAACTCTGAAAGTGTCTGGGTTAGACTAATCCTGCCCACGACAGACTTATGACCCTTGGGCCTAAGTGAGGAACTCGAAAGTCCATGAGAGCTGGTCATCTATCGGGGTTCAGCTTTACTCCTTCCCTGTGGGGATGAACCAGGATGGAGTCTGAGGTGTACTGAGGTAACACAGGCAGGGCTAAAGAGGACACTCTATTTCACTCAGGATGGGACACTTCCCCCTTCAGCTGTTGATGACTCCAAAGAGATGTGAACAGTAAGATGGATGTTGACAGCTGGTGTGGGGCAGTTTTCTGAATTGATATCTGTTGCTGTTAAGATGTAATTTTCAAAGGGGTAGAAAATTGGGTGTGTTTGAGTTCAAGACCAGGCAATTTGAGGTATATAATGTGAAGGTTAGAGGAAAAAAAGCTCAGCTATCTCTCTATTTTTATAGCTTTAAGTCATTATCAAGGCAATATCTTGTCTTGTTTAAATGTTGTCCTTACACTGTTCTATTGATGACAAAAACAAAATTAATAAATTACCTCCCTAGATAATTACCTTATCTACCTTTTCTGTTTATCCAAACAGTGTCAAAGCTGTGATGGATTGACAGCAACTTACTTGTATCAGTATTATTTTCAAATGGGTTTTAGTGATGCATGTCTCAGAAACAGTAAAACCAGCATGAAAAACCAGAGTAATCTAGATACTATAGTATTCATCTGTTAGCAAAATATGGTAAAATAATAGTACAATTTGACTTCTGCATAATCAAAATTATATTCTAAAATAGCAGGATTGTTTTAGCTTTTCAAAAGCTCATTCCATAATTTTGGAATCCTGATAACTAGCTAAATCCTCTGCTGGCAATTTTGAGTGAATGTAAAACTGATATCTGGTCAGCATCAAGTTTGGATTGTTTTGTATTATTTCTGTCATTCGATTGCTAGATGTGATGTTTAAATTTAAAAGTACATCAGATACTTTTGTACCAAAACCAGTCAGGATTACCAGGTGTAAAAAAATATAAAGAAATATAAACAGCATATCATCTGCATGGATGGAGTGTTGTGTGTTTACATATTTTGTGACCCAATGGTACCATTTAAAGAGAAAACATTAGATAAAAAAAAATGCCCCTTGTATATATGTAATATATAGTAGAAAATTAGGAGTTACCAAGTGGGGGTCCTGGTAGCCTAGTGGTCAAAACCCAAATCCCCTATATTTGCATCATCTGGTCAGGGAGTTTTGTGCATGTTATACCCTCTCTCTCTGCTGTCATCTTTTCTGTCTATATCTCTTTCTTCTCTTACTACAAAAAAAGCAAATAAACAGAACATCTTAAAAAGGAGTTAATGAGAACCTAGTATATGCTACCACACATTTCAGAGCAGAATCTGAGATACCTTTTTATTTTTTACAATAATTTTACAACATCATTATCCTCACCGTTAAATGTCACATTTTCCTGAATGTGAATAACAAACAAGGATATTGGTCTCTTTCGAAAGTGCCATCTCAGAGGCTCTAAAAAGTGGAATCTATGCAGAAATTAAAAGAAAAATATTTATTGCAAATAAATCAACCTGTTGATTACTAATAGTTTAACTATTTTAGTTTGAAGTGTGTATACGTTAAGCCTTAACACCTCAGCACAAACACTCTGTTTGACACAAAAGACTCAACCCATGATGCCCTCCGCTGCATCTCTGGGGGATAAGATGGAGGCTCAAGGTGCTCCATAGTTACTTCAGCTCATTACAAATAGGGTGGTGAAAACTTGACAAACTCTCTTAATGGTTTAGTAGGAGCACTCATGTATTAGAGCTGTTAAAGTTGTGTGAAGCATTATGGCTAGTTATAATTGAGAAAAAAAACCCCACCAAACTGCAAATACATATCAAGTTAGACAAAATAGTTTAGGTAATTGTGTAAATCTTTGAGGCACTTGTAATTCAAAATAAGGTTAATACGCAGCTTGATTCAGTTTGTTGTCATGGTTTTATGTTTTTTTTTTCCTGAGTGAAGGGCACTGTAGTTTATTTTGAGTGTCCTGATGCCATTATCATTACAGCACCAAATGTGTATTATTTTACCACTGAAAATAGTCCTCAACAAGTAAATGATTTACTCATCTTTAAGTAAGGTTTACTGAAACTACAATACCTAGCTGCTGTAGGAAATTTCTTAACTGACTTTTAAAATGAAACATTTTTGAAGATTTACCTCTTCTATAGGACCAAATACCAAAAGCTGACTACCACAGACAGTGGAGGGAAGTTGGAAAGTATTGAGCGACTGACTAACACACTGTGGTTTTGGTTTTAGTGTTTTCATTGGATTAGTTCAAGAAGAAGAAGAAGAAGAAGAAGCCTTGTCCTTCATGTTAACATGGCAAACAGTAATACTGCCTCCGATGTTATATTGATAACGAGAATCCGTCTGACTGACAATTTTCGGTTTCTGCTCTCTCATCAGTGAGTCCAGATGTGACCAGTGATCACAAACATCATCATCATCATCATCATCATTATCCACCTGCCGAGGATTCAGAAATGGAGGGCAGATCCAGGAGCCTTGGACTGACTGGAGCCATCTGGGTCTTGATATTGCCTTGTTTACATATGCTCCTGGCCTTGTAATAGCTGCCTTTTTGCAGCATGAAACTTTCAAGACTTGTTTTCAAGCTTATTAATCCAGAAGTGAAATGGCCAGTGGACGTAAAGAGCTCCAGTATGTAATGGAGCACCACTTCCACACAGTGCAGGACACGGTAGGAGTGAACACTAATGTTTATGTGGAAAATTGCAAGACACTGTGGCTTATATGTAAGACAGCCTTTGGTTCAGCTTTGCGAATATTAATTATTTTTTATCAGTTACCTGGCATTCATTAACAGTAAAAATGACTTATTTATAACAGCCGATGTTAAAACTAAATACAGCATAAGTTGTAAACATTTGGTATTAATTTAATTGTATTTAATTGTATACAATCTCCACAGCTTTTACAACTTAAATATTTTTGGCCAAATGAAAACGGCCTGTTTGTCTTATACCATCCTAGGAATCACCTATATGTATAAACCTATGTTTTTTTAAAGACATTTTTATACAAATGTGCTTAAGATTGTGCTTCAGATAATTGAAGGCTCTCAGATATGTATTATATGTCCTTATACATTCTGCTAAAAGGAACAAGAAATGATTCAAGGTATCTGCTTCCCTTCACTTTAAATAGCTGCCATGCAGAGTCCATTTAATTGGTATATTTCAATTGCAAAATTGACCTGTAATGCTAGTGCTGAGAGAAATGGTGAAAGGAGAGGGGTGGGTAGGTGGACACTGGGGGCAACTGAGGGAATCCACACTTCTTTCTTCTTTAGAAATAGATTAGTTTCCTTAGGAATCTATTATCATCTTTCAAACTCAATCCTCCTCTGCCTTCATGTATGCCTGGATGGGAGCTGATAGCTCTTGGAGCCACTGGTGAGGAAGAATCCAGTTGCTTCTACCTGATACCTGACTGCATACTGCTTGTGTGTTGCTGGCAAGTTTCTGTGCAGAGAAAAGGAAAATGATTTGTTTCACATACGCCATGCATGTCTGGTCAATGGCTGAGAGAGAAAAGTACTCAGCGGTGCCGAAAATTGGTTCCTTGGCTCACATATGCTGGGGAACTTCTTATAGAGCTAAGAAAAAATAATCTTTTGAGATGCTGCAGAAGCAAAATTATACTCTTTATAATTAAATTTCACTATTCATGTATATATTCTGTATAAAAAAACACAGAAATGAACAAGAAAAACATTAAAGCTGCTACTGTAAATAGAAGACAATGTAAACATTTACTGAAACATTTAATTACGGCTCGGGAACAGCTTTTTATTTTCCAGCCAAAGGTACAATCTCCTCAGGTACTTGTTTGATCGTATATGATCATATTTCAGAAGCCTGCGACCTTCCTCTCGCTGCTGTTGTCCTAAAACATGCATATAAGTTTTGTCATTAGTCATTTTCTCTTTTAATGTACCAGGTTAGACTTTTATCATGATATAAAGCCAAGACTGTTTGAGCATCTGAACCACTTGAGTAGCTTGGACCGTTTCCAATGACACTCTCAAGGTTTAGAAATGATAACTTTGAGATTAATTATAGTCATCATTTCTTACCGTGCTTTAACTTTAATGTCTGTATATTAGGCTTTTTGAGGTGAGATTCCCAAACGACAATAGTCACTGCTTAACGGCTTTAATACAGTTGTTTAAATGTTGTATTCTTAACTACCTAACAAGTCACGACTGCTGTCAGTGCTATTGTCATCTGAACAACTGTGTTAATGACACTATTAAAGTGTTAACTCTCTTACTAGATAGCGGGCAGCAGGCACAGAGCCAAAGGTGCCTTCAGGCTAAATATAGATGTCAGGTTGCACTCATTCTCCTCTACTTAAAGGAAAAAGTTCAGTTTGATATCGAAGGTGATTCTTATCGCTACATATCGGCAGTTATCCAGAGGAGGACGGAAAGAAAGGGCCAGATGCTGATGCACCCACCTCCAGACAGGTGTCATCCTGCAGGCATTGCAATGTGTCAGAACCTCTTAAATAACATGTTTACCCTATGATGTTATGTTCGGAGAGTGACTGTGTCATCTGAAAAATAAATTCTTGTAATACATGCAGCTCTATTTTGACCCAGACTGTAATGTATCCTGCAAGGTTTTTTTTGTTTAATACAATGGTCTTTAAAGAAAAAATGCTTTTTATAACATTGGACTTGCCAATTGTAATTGTAACAATTGTAAGTGCTGAGAACTCAACAGCTTTGCTGAAAATAGGTCAGGCGTTGCAACAAACATGAGTAGTCAAACATTCAGACAGGTTGTAAACAAACCCCCGGGTTAGTAAAACTTGTTCGGAAGAGAAAATAAAGGCAAACAGAAAAATGATTATCCAAATGATCCATTGTAAACAGTTAAGGGACTTCCACTGACCTACTTAAACTTTGACCTACCATTCTTGCTGTAGTTGTGCACACTGTTCTACTTTGCAATGATTATTAGAGACATTACTGCCTTTGGTTTTTACCTTCGAATAAAGTTTTGGCATGTTTACGACCTGATTTTCTGCCTTGCTTGTGTTTGTTTTGTATTTTTAGCAATGTCACTACGTTCCCAGATCTCAGCAATTGTTTAGGTGAGTAGTTCAACAAACATGGTTGTATTGGTCTGTACTTGAGTTTAGGTTTATTTTTGTCATATAATAATTCCATGAAATAACTTTAAGCCTGTGTTCTAGCGATATCCCAAGGCTTTGGGTTGTCATCCATCCTTTTTGTCTTGCTTTATTTCTTACATTAACTTCAATTGGCAAGCAGAGCAGCCCAACTGTCCTTTTACTAAATAACACCAAGTGTTCCCCAGGCCTTCAGCTTTAAAATGATTTCTTCCCCTGCTTTACCTTGGAAATGCGGAGTTCTCGCCTTCACTGAAATTTGATTTCAAAAAGAAATAAGAAAATGGTATGTACTTATCTTCTGTCGGTTCTTTAACATATATTAGATAGACATGTTGATAATTTTTTAATAAAATAATGAAAAATAAAGATTATACAACAATTCCCGATCCCATTTGACCTGTTTCTTTCAGTGCTGATTTCAGGCATGTCACGCTGTTCCTTCATCTCGACACCTTGAATCCGCGATCTCACTCTTTGGTCAGTCGTGACTACAGGTGAGAGTTGGAACAAGGTTGAGTAATAAATTTAGATCTTTGATTTTAAGCTCAGCTCTGTCCTCACAGCCAATGCACAGCCAGTTTCCCTAACTGGCTGTCGGTCCCACTGGCAAAAAAGGCCCCACGATACTTGAAGTCCTTCATTTGGAGCAGCTCCTCCCTTCTCAAATGCTGGTTTTCCACAAAGTGATCGCTCACCTCTACCTAACTAAGTATAACGTGTTTCATGCATGAAAACAGTTTGCCTTTTGTAAATCAATAAATGAAACCAAACATATGGCACAAATAAGGAATGTAATGTAAATAGAAATACATATTTAAATAGCAGCAGGACAAGATAGAGTTACCCTTCATATTGATATTGCACTATTTAGTTTACCAAAAGATTTAAAGGCTGACAGCACAGAATAGAATACTGTGTGAAATGTTTAAATATTTTTAAAGAATGTATTTATTCTTTGTAGAAACTCTGCCATTGGCATTTTTCATCACTGGTAATTGGGAGTTGAAAAACCTGCACAGTAACAGTGTTCACTTTCTACACCAAGACCAAGAAATGAATGGAGATATTAATGAACTCCTGCATTTTAAAACAGTTGAAGACAGTATTTTTTGAATAGCTCTCATTGCAGTAGTTTCTCTGTGCAGGAGTGAGTCCAATTACAATACACTTTGGTGTCTTCAAAATTACTCAGAGGTAAAGCTTCAGATAGTATGAACCGTTGTCTTTGGAGTCTTTTATCTCTGCATACTGAAGAGGGGCTCCTGGGACAGTCTAAGGAGAATAGTGCTGAGCACTGCTTAAATGTATACAGAGATTAATTTCATATTCCCATCGAGGTTTCTGTTTCACTCAAAATTATTACTGTGACCTTGACAACAGCTAACGTTTAGCCTCAATGTAGACGGGAGCTTTAATCATCACAGTGCAGACCCAGACAGAGCTTTGTATCATTCCTAAAGTTGTTCATGGTAAAGCCAGTGTTTTCAGAAGCTTAACTCTGCACACAGGACATGCCTTCCAATGAGTCAAGGAGATAAATTGTTGTGAAATAGGAGTGAGGTCATTTTTAACTAAGGAATGCTTATTGCTTATTTCCCGAACAAGTTGTTTTGGACTGATTTTTTGTATTATACAGTGTCTAAATAGTATTAAAGGCAAATTCAGATTAATTATATGTCTTTTAATAGTTTTCCCCCTTGGCTTGCTACATTTCCCCATTCAGTCGGTCGACCACAACTATTCAACTACTCAACCACTATCTGATGGAAGCTCATTTCATTTTGTCAAAGCATTTATAGTCCACAGAGGATGAATCCTAATAATGTTCTGACTTGGTTCTTTCACCACCGCCAGGTCAGAGTTTTCACATTATCCAGTGAAATATCATTACATCTACTCAATAAATTGGCTTGTAAAGACATTCAGATGAATCCTACTGACCTATTTTTTTCATCCAGTGTTACCACAAGGTTGGTATTTGTCATTTTGAGTGAAATATTTTTACATCTATTGAATGGATTTCAATAAAATGTGGGTCAGACATTCATGTCCACCTCAGGAAAAATTCTTTTGCTTAATTTTCCACCTAGCCCCATTGTTGAGTAAAAACAAAAAAACAACCAAAACAATAGCATTCCCATCAGCTTCAGCTACTTTGTATTTGGTGCTAACAAAGTAAAATTGTGAACGTGGTTAACTTCTTACCTTACATCAGCATGTTAACATTGTCAAGATGAGTATGTTATCATGCAGACATTTGGATTTTGTTCGAAATCTTCACAGATCCACTAGCCTTCCTGCCTCTGATCATTATTGCCAAATGAATTTAAATCATTTTTATGGGTTTCATCACTTTATTCAGTAATAACTTGTACTTCCTGTGTCTCCCCATTTTGCTAAGAAACCTGTACATCACAAAACTGCAGTTTTGAAGTAAAGTAATCCCAGTGTTCAGCTTACTCACAGGTCCTAGGTCTTTGTAGCATTGTGTGAACTTTTGGTTAAATCTCTCCTACACAAACCTAAACAGACAAGTGTGACCATGTACAGGTGAGCACATTTACAAATACAGTTACTGTCACAAACTGAAGTAGGGAACAGTAGTACTGATGCCAACAGGGGTAGCTCAGGTCAAGTGCTGCTGTTGACCCGCTCAGTGTAAAAATACAGAGATATTATGGATAATCACAGGTATATTTTACTGAACAACCACGGCTTGGATCCAACAGTAAGGTTAAGAACTTGCATTTATTCATGACTGCGCTGTATGATTTCTATTATTCATTTATTTCATTTTTCATTTTCAGACAGAAAGAGAACAGCCACATCAACGAGCACCAAACTGAGCCACCCTGCTGCTCCATAGGTACTTTTTACATTTCTTGTGTTCTCAGACATTAACGACATTAAGAACTGGCCCAACGGGACACACAGACACACACACACACACACACCTCCCACCACCTGGAGATAGCGGCCTCTACCTTCTCACTCTCTTGTTTTCTGTGTTCAAGCTTTTTTTTTCTCTGAGAATGGAGTAAACAGTCCCATCAATATAGTGTTTTCCCGCTGTCTACCCACCCACTGCTTCCAGATTATCAGACAGGACTACAGCACAGGTTTCACAATAAATCCTCCCGTCCCTTTCCTCCCTGGCTTTCTTCTTCACTCATCTTATTTTTTCATCACTGACTTTCCTCCTCGCTCTTTCACCCTCTACTAAGGTTTAGTTTCACAATATAATATTTTACTATTTCAGTAATCATTTTCAATCTTTCTTTTTCACAAACATGTATCTACAGCACATAAATGAGGGTAACATATAACATGCAACAATTTTATAAAAAGCTAAATTACATATATTTACATGCCTTATATTATGCATGAATTTAATTTAAATCCACTGCCACACTATCAGTAGGTGTCTGCCAATTCGACCTAAAATCTAAAATTGGCAGACTTGCTGCGATGTGAGCCATGAGTGCTGGGTTTATTCTCCGTGAGCTGAGAACTGGGATCAGGTGTGAGGATAAGTGACCATAAATAAGCTTGAAATATGTGTGCAGGAGTCTAGCATTTATGAAAATGTTATTTGATGTACTGCGGTGGTGTCAAGTGAACCTGCTGTCTACTAAAAAAAAAAAAAAAATCTAGGACAGTTAAAGGCGAAAAACACCAGCAGATGACAGAAAAGGACAAAATTGAAGAACATGGAGCAAATAAAAATATATTAAATTAGTATCAGATCTCAAATGGTGGCAAGACTGGAAACATCACAAATAGTAAATAACACAAAACTCAGTTTGTGATTTTTTAGCGCATTTAATAAGATTATTTACCAGCTGTGCAAAAGCAACATAATTTCTTCTTCACTTTTTCTACATAACCTAAGAGGTTGTGACAGATAATACAGATTCCTTCCTTGATAGTCTTTATCCACATGTCTGCTCTTGGAAAGTCAGTTGGCCACACAACGCAATATTGCAGAGTGTGTGGCACACAACAGAGAGCTAATTTGGCTCACGATGAGACATAAGCTATGTTGCTGCTAATCTCTGAAATGTGAAAAATCACATATGCAGTACATGCTTTCTGATTAAGGAGGGAGTAAACTTCCCCTTGTTAACCCTAAAACTCAAAATAAGTACATAAAAAAAGTCACTAAGAGCTTATTTATTTCTGTGTATTAATCAAAATCTTACAATTGTATCAGCTTTAGCATAATCACTTTCAATTATGTTTTGGGAGAAGAGTTCCATTTTATTTACTGACCTACTTATCACAGCTCCCACAAGCATGGCTGCCACTACTAAGACCATCCCCATGGCCACTGACCCATTTGTCAGACAAGCCAACCTTCGATAATTTCAAATTTTTAGATCAAATAAGTCATGCTTAAATCTCCTCCTCTCCCTAATATTTCTCCTCTGCTACACACCACCACCTAATATCCCCCTCTTCCAATTCCCACTCACTTTCTTTTCCCATAGTTCTCTGGTTTAAGGTGGGTGTCCCATTTAACATCAGCTCCTGACTGAGATCTGACACATCCTCTTACCGCATCCAGGGCGGACGTACTGCCAGTTCCATTTATGACACAAGCCGATACATTATTCATGCTTCTTAATTAGGTAGTGAAGCGGCAGCTTATACTGGTGAGACATTTAGCAGATCAGGGTCTTGGATGGCACTTTCATCATGACTTTGTCACTGCATACAAAAGCAAACATGATAAGAAATGGCAGTGTGACAGAGGTTGGAGAGGATGTGATAAATTTGGCTACAAGCAATGATATTGTGAACATTTTAGGAAAGGTGCAAATGAGCACAAAGTAATCAGTACCAGTGCACAGAGAGAGAAACTCACATAGAAGATTGTAAATA